TCTGTAATACCTAAGAACACTGATATTTTCCTTTATTCCTTCAGTATTACCTAAAAATACCGAAAAAGTTTCTCTTATTCTTTCAGTATTAACTAAAAACATTGTAATATTTTCACTTATTCTTTGGGCAATATTTCACATCATTAAGGACCGCCAGAGCCAACACACTTTTTTTTTACTTGTAGTTTAAGGGTGATTTAACCTTTTCGTGTGTATATAAGCAACAAGGATTAAATAGATATAGAGAGATAGAGAGAGGAGGAGGGTGTGTGTGTGTGTGTGTGTGTGTGTGTGTGTGTGTGTGTGTGTGTGTGTGTGTGTGTGTGTGTGTGTGTGTGTGTGGTAAAGGGGGCTAGAAGATAAGGAATATTTATGGCAGTCCGGACGACCAGCCGAGAAATGTTGGTAACGAGGAGTGAGGCGGTGTTTATCATGGCCGAGCCCAGCCCTGCCACCATGAGCTTCTGAGGAGGAGCAGGAGGAGGAGGAGAAGGATGTGGAGATGATGATAAGGAGCAGGAGGAGGAGAAGGATGTGGAGATGATGATAAGGAGGAGGAGGAGAAGGATGAAGATAAGGACGAGGATGCACATGAAAAGGAGGATGATGATAAGAAAGAAAGGAGGGAAGACACGAAAATGGATGATAAGGAAGAGAACAGGAGGAAGAAAATGATGATAAAGTGGAGGATGATAAGGAGGAAAAAATTAGGAGGAGGGTTTCTGGTTATATAGATTAAGGGACAAAAGGAGGAGCAGGAGGAGGAAGAATAGAGGAGGACAACGGGAGGGGAAGGAGGAGGACAGAAAGAGGATGATACGGAGGAAAATATTAGGAGAAGGAGGAGGAAGAGGGCTTCTAGTTACCTACATCAAGGAACAAAAGGAAGTAGGGGGAGGGGTGGGGGGTTAGGTTGGAGGTCCATACATTAGGGCTATGACGTAAATTAGACCCTTTAAAACCCTCAAGCCTCCTGTGATGAAGAGCACTGTGCCCCTTTGTCTCTCTCTCTCTCTTTGTCTTTTTCTGTCTCTGTCTGTCTGTCTCTATTCTCTCTCTGTCGCTTTCTTTCTTCCTTTGTCTCTATCTATCTGTCTGTATTCTCTCGCTCTCTCTTTTCTTCTTTGTTTGTCCGTGTGTGTGTTAGAGAGAGAGAGAGAGAGAGAGAGAGTCTATCACTATTATATATTCTTGCTCCTCATTAATAATAGTGTACACAATGTTACGATAATGATGTAATTAATATTATCTCATTCTATTTCTATCAACCATTTTCTTTCCTTCCCTTTCATCTGACACAATAAGACGACAGACTAAAATAAACCCGAGGCTCTTAATTGTGGCTTTGTTTTTATAACTATTTTTTATTTATTCTGTTTAATTTTGTTTTATTTTTAATCTCAAATATTAATTTTACTCAATAAACATAATTTGAAGACGATAGATTAATCATTCGAGGATAATGATTTAACCCTTTGAGGACGATGATTTAACGTAGTGAGGACGATTGTTTAACCCTTTGACGACGACAATTTAACCCTTTGAGGACGATTGCTTAACCCTTTCGTCATCAAAATGTCAATCCAATAATAGTTCTGAACCAACGACACAGTGAAAGGAATTCAATAACCCTTAAACTGATGAACGTCAATCACAACAACAACAAAACCCAAAGTCTATAACCTATCATCACTCACATTACAAAAACAGAAGAACATCACAGCGTCATGTAATCATAAAGTCTATAACTTATCATCAATTACATTACAAAAACAAAAGAGCATCACAGAGTCGTGTAATCATAAAGTCTATAACTTATCATCACTCACATTACAAAAACAGAAGAACATCACAGCGTCATGTAATCATAAAGTCTATAACTTATCATCAATTACATTACAAAAACAGAAGAACATCACAGAGTCGTGTAATCATAAAGTCTATAACTTATCATCACTCACATTACAAAAACAAAAGAGCATCACAGCGTCATGTAATCATAAAGTCTATAACTTATCATCAATTACATTACAAAAACAAAAGAGCATCACAGAGTCGTGTAATCATTCCACTTGCATATGGGGTTATGATGATGAAGATGATTATGATGATGATGATGATAAGTGTCCCTCCCTCCCGTTACACTAGCAATTAAAAGTCACCCTAATGTCGTGTTATGATGTAGGATTTAAAGCGAGTTAGTATCCGGGTTGTGTATTAGATCCTGACCTCCAGCTTGTGTGGGGAGTGAGGCAAGGAACATTACACGAACGTAAATAGGAGTTTGTGGGAGTATTAAGTGAAGGTTTATTTACTTATTTCTTCTTCTACCGTTTGTGTGGATTCTCTCTCTCTCACCCCCACCTGACTCCTCTCCTACCCACTACCTTCATAAATCCACAGCCCCTCCTCACCTCCACCTTCCTCTCCCTCCTCTTTTATGTAGAGAAAGAAGGATGGCGGGGGGAGGGAGGAGATTAGGCTAGAGGAGGGAGGAAGGGGGTTAATAGGAGGGAGGAAGGGGGTTAATAGGAAGGAGGAAGGGGGGTTAATAGGAGGGAGGAAGGGGGTTAATAGGAGGAGGAAGGGGTTAATAGGAAGGAGGAAGGGGGTTAATAGGAGGAAGGAAGGGGTTAATAGGAGGGAAGGGGGTTAATAGGAAGGAGGAAGGGGGGTTAATAGGAGGGAGGAAGGGGGTTAATAGGAAGGAGGAAGGGGGGTTAATAGATGGGAGAAGGGAGTTAATGAGAGGAAGGAAGGGGAGTTAATACAAGGAAGGAGGAAGAGGGTTAATAGGAAGGAGGAATGGGGTTAATAGAGAGGAAGAGGAGTTAAAAGGAGGTAGAAGGTGTGTTAAGTAATGCCTTTGGGCTAGTTATTGTGGGTATCTTTTAATGAGTTGTTCTTCTGGTTGGCTGTCCGTTTTGGTGGCACTGGCACTATACATAGAACCCTATATCCTCCCACCTGCATGACCTCACCTCCCTCCTCACCTCACCTCCCCCTCACCTCACCTCACCTCCTCCTCACCCACCTCCTCCTCACCTCCCTCCCTCCCACCTCCCACCTCCCTCCCTCCTCACCTCCCTCTCCTCCTCACCTCACCTCCCTCCCCCCTCCTCCTCCCCTCCTCCTCCACCTCCACCTCACCTCCCACCTCATCTCACCTCCCCTCCTCACCTCACCTCCCTCCTCACCTCACCTCACCTCCCTCCTCACCTCACCTCACCTCACCTCACCTCCCTCGTGATGACTTATGATTAAATAATATACCAAATGCCTGAAGATCACCACAACAATTCTTTAAAAAAATCGTTCACTAATTTCTCCCTTTGACTGAAAATGTGAGAGATTATCTAACTGGAGTATATTAACCTAACCTCACCTAACAAGAATAAATTAACCTAACCTAACGTAATAAGAATAAATTAACCTAACCTAACCTAACAGGAATATATTAACCTAACCTAACCTGACAAGAATAAATTAACCTAACCTAACGTCACTAGAACATATTAATCTACAACAAGAGAAACTAAATAATCAAAATGGCGACGGAACTGAACTGAGACTCTAACTAGATACTATATTTTTCTATCCTAAGTGAGACCAAAAAAAAAAATGGGAAGATAGGATACTTACCTGTGTGCCTGAGTCCACCTGTTACCCTCACCTTAATAAAACCAATCAGGACGCCGCAAATGACCGTCAAATTACTAACTCTTAGAGGCAATTACTTAAAGAAGATCTGAAAATTATTACAACTGTGAGGGCCGGAGGAAGGTGGGTGGAGGTGGTGGAGGGGTGGGGAGGAGGTGAAGGAGTATGGAAGGGGTGGAGGAGGTGGATGAGGGAATGGAGGAGGTGCAGTGGGGTGGAGGGGGGTGAAGACGGTGGAGGCGGAGTAGGTGGGTGGGAGGCAAGGTGGAGGCAGGTGGAGGGGCAGTTGGGGCAGTTGAACATAAACCATATGAAAATCGTCATCCACTCCGCCATTCACGTCACCAGGGAACGATTACCGATGAACAGACATACAACATTCATACTCCACCCACGCCACGTCACTACACCGCCATCATTCACTCCACTATGACGCAGGAACGACAAGGTGAATGACATACACAACAGATAGAATGACCACTGAAAGCTGACAACGTTCCTAGGAGAGTGCAATGATTGTTCTCACCTTCCAATCATGGCATCAATACAGTCTACATGTAAACTAGATTGAATAGTTTCCATTCTTTGTTGTCATATACGCACATATACGCAGAACTACCTATATGACGTCATGAGAGCCAATTTACACCACCAGAGGAATAAATCTCCATTATGGTGTAAACTTGAGAGGCAACACCTGGGTAGTATCTCAAGGTGGTTTTTTTTTTTTCCTCTTCATAACTTGTGAGATATTTCAGTAGTTCTCCCTTAAATCAGGTGATGTAAAGGTGTATAAGTTAATTAGTGGTCAGAGTAAGAGTGATGGATATTTAACTAATGGGGAAAAATACAGTATTATCTCTGCTGTACTCAATATAATACAGTATATTTCTCTACTGTACTCAATATAATACAAAATGACTCAACAAGCTTGAATCTAGAGTCCGTCTCGTTGATGCACCATTCAACAGCTTAAAGAAATATTCGAGTGATGTATATTTTCCATTTAGTTCGGGATTCTGTCTGAAGATCGATGCTGTCGTGTCTAGTTGAAAGAGAGTGTCAGATACAAAGCCTTCAGACTGTCTGGGTATATACACGAGATGCATTCTATCAGAGGCGACTGTAGTGGTTCTGTGCTTTTTATACAGTGATGTTGTGTTCTCCTGTAGGTGTGGTCTCCATGCTTGTATATAGTGATGTTATGTTCTCCTGTAGGTGTGGTCTCCATGCTTGTATACAGTGATGTTGTGTTCTCCTGTAGGGGTGGTCTCCATGCTTGTATACAGTGATGTTGTGTTCTCCTGTAGGTGTGGTCTCCATGCTTGTATACAGTGATGTTATGTTCTCCTGTAGGGGTGGTCTCCGTGCTTGTATACAGTGATGTTGTGTTCTCCTGTAGGTGTGGTCTCCATGCTTGTATACAGTGATGTTGTGTTCTCCTGTAGGTGTGGTCTCCATGCTTGTATACAGTGATGTTGTGTTCTCCTGTAGGTGTGGTCTCGTGCGTGCTTGTATATAGTGATGTTATGTTCTCCTGTAGGGTGGTCTCCATGCTTTGTATACAGTGATGTTATGTTCTCCTGTAGGGTGGTTCCTGTGCTTGTATACAGTACTGTACATGCTTGATACAGTGATGCTGTGTTCTCCTGTAGGTGTGGCTCTGTGCTTGTATACAGTGATGTTGTGTTCTCCTGTAGGTGTGGTCTCCATGCTTGTATACAGTGATGTTGTGTTCTCCTGTAGGTGTGGTCTCCGTGCTTGTATATAGTGATGTTATGTTCTCCTGTAGGGGTGGTCTCCATGCTTGTATACAGTGATGTTGTGTTCTCCTGTAGGGGTGGTCTCCGTGCTTGTATACAGTGATGTTGTGTTCTCCTGTAGGTGTGGTCTCCATGCTTGTATACAGTGATGTTGTCTCTGTATGCTGTATACAGTGATCTCCTGTAGGTGTGGTCTCCATGCTTGTATACAGTGATGTTGTGTTCTCCTGTAGGTGGTCTCCATGCTTGTATACAGTGATGTTGTGTTCTCCTGTAGGGGTGGTCTCCGTGCTTGTATACAGTGATGTTATGTTCTCCTGTAGGTGTGGTCTCCATGCTTGTATACAGTGATACAGTGATGTTGTGTTCTCCTGTAGGTGTGGTCTCCATGCTTGTATACAGTGATGTTGTGTTCTCCTGTAGGGGTGGCCCCGTGCTGTATGGTGTGATGTTGTGTTCCCAGGTGTGGTCTCCATGCTTGTATACAGTGATGTTGTGTTCTCCTGTAGGGGTGGTCTCCGTGCTTGTATATAGTGATGTTATGTTCTCCTGGAGGTGTGGTCTCCATGCTTGTATACAGTGATGTTGTGTTCTCCTGTAGGTGTGGTCTCCGTGCTTGTATACAGTGATGTTATGTTCTCCTGTAGGTGTGGTCTCCATGCTTGTATACAGTGATGTTGTGTTCTCCTGTAGGTGTGGTCTCCATGCTTGTATACAGTGATGTTGTGTTCTCCTGTAGGGGTGGTCTCCATGCTTGTATACAGTGATGCTGTGTTCTCCTGTAGGTGTGGTCTCCATGCTTGTATACAGTGATGTTGTGTTCTCCTGTAGGGGTGGTCTCCATGCTTGTATACAGTGATGTTGTGTTCTCCTGTAGGTGTGGTCTCCATGCTTGTATACAGTGATGTTATGTTCTCCTGTAGGGGTGGTCTCCATGCTTGTATACAGTGATGTTGTGTTCTCCTGTAGGTGTGTGCTTGTATACTCCATGCTTGTATACAGTGATGTTGTGTTCTCCTGTAGGTGTGGTCTCCATGCTGTATATACAGTGATGTTGTGTTCTCCTTGTAGGTGTGGTCTCCGTGCTTGTATATAGTGATGTTATGCAATAGGCTGAGAACAATAGAGAGAGAGAGAAAGAGAGAGAGAGAGAGAGAGAGAGAGAGAGAGAGAGAGAGAGAGAGAGAGAGAGAGAGAGAGAGAGAGAGAGAGAGAGAGACACTATTGCCTTAATGGAGGAACCGGGATGGTCCAACTCCACCGAATAAAAAGGAAACTAATTGCAATTGCCTTTTCACAAGTTTAATGAGTTTACGTAATGGAGGCGAGAAAACTGATATATATATATTTTTTTTATAGCAAGATCACTTCGTTTCTCTCCCTCTTGTTTCGTGTCAATAAAAGAAAAGAGAGATTGAAACTTTACGAACTGATTACGTTTGACTTCCATCTTACGCAGAGAGAGAGAGAGAGAGAGAGAGAGAGAGAGAGAGAGAGAGAGAGAGAGAGAGAGAGAGAGATATGACGTGTCTGAGAGCAATATATAACGTAAATAAAATGAAGAAAATAATAAAAAGAGAAATACCAAAAAATTAAAAATAAGAGGAAGTGAAATATAATATAAGAGATAAGAATAGAGTTTTCTAAAGTGATATCAAGATTTTAAGAGAAAGTAAATGTGATGTTGATAATAATATTTATTAGTGCAGAGGTAGATGGTATGAGGAAGAGGGGTAGAGCAAGATAGAGATGAGAGAATGAAGTAAAGGAAGTAGAAGTAATGATGGGGGTAGAGGATGATGGGGTGGAGGATGAGGGGTGGAGGATGAGGGGTAGAGGATGAGGGGGTTGGAGGATGCAGGGGTGGAGGGATGATGGGGGTAGAGGATGATGGGGTCGAGGATGAGGGGGGGTGGAGGATGAGGGAGGATAACTAGGTAGCATCAGTGTGTGAATGAGTGGACAACATGACGTCGAGTATATTTTTATATGAAGGGCGTGGTGATGGTGATGGTGATGGGTGATGGTGATGGGTGATGGTGATGGGTGATGGGTGATGGGTGATGGTGATGGATGGTGATGGGTGATGGTGATGGGTGATGGTGATGGGTGATGGTGATGGGTGATGGTGTATTGTGAAGCATCAGAAAGGGTGTTAACCAGAGATAGCTTTGTGGTTTCCTTGTGGGTAAAGGAGTATCACAGCAGGACACATCATTTATAGCATTAAGTCAACTGAATAACAAAAGCAGTGAATTAATAGTGTGTGTTATGATTTGGATTTCAGTCACCTGCCCTCTAGCGGGGAAAAAAAGTTTGAAAGAATAAAACGAAAAATACGAGTATAATTAAGAATATCATTAAGAGAATTATACCAAGAGAAATAATATAATACTATAATATTTTACTCACTTTAAAGCCAAGAATTACTTTAGGTAGAGATTAAGTTCACGTACACGGACAGTACTTGTGGTTCTCTCGGGGGTAATTTCCTTTTTTGGGGGGTAGGGGGGGGGGGGTGTGGCAGGGCTTTACGGTGTCTGCAGTGCGGCACACGACTTATTCCACAGCCTTGCCCACCCCACACATGACCGCTTACGACACCAACCAGTGTACAGTACTTCATAGCTCTCGTGTGGAGGAGCTGTCTTAAGTCTTACCGAGTACTGTACGAACCAGAGACAAGGGGTAAGCTTTATTTTATACAGTCAGGGGGAGGCGAGGTGAACTAGGTGATTCAGAGGCGAGGTGAACTAGGTGATTCAGAGGCGAGGTGAACTAGGTGATTCAAGCGTGTTTGTGAAGATAAAGCATAAAGCCGAAACAATCCTACACTATACAGTATATTCTCGTGTGGTGTTGGCGTGTGTTGTGCTGCTGACTATAAACATATTCACTATGGTAGGCTGCCCACTATTATATTACAATCATTAAGACAAGAGACAAACACAGGTCATCCTCCAACACTCTCCTCTCGGACTCATTCTCAAGGTCAACCTATTATCCCCATCCTCCCACCCACCCACTCACACCCTGCAGCACCCACCATCTGCAGCGGCCGCCCACTGTGATACACGCCCGGGTCTTCGTGCTGGAGAGTGAATCCTGTGCTCCTCCAGGCCATCAACCCCTGAAGCCCTCCGCTAATCATGGACGATTTTAACTTCTCTGTGGCCGCTGGTGTGTGATGTTCAGTGTGATTATAATAACAAGGTGGAGGCATTTATGGTCTTCTGTGAATAATAGCAAGAATTTAGACTTTGTGACTGTAATGGACGTATTTATGTGTGTGTGTGTGTGTGTGTGTGTGTGATGAAACTAAAGTGAAAATAAAAAAATAAGCACCTCACCCGCCACAACTATAAGCACCACCCACCCAGCACCAACGGTACTGGAATAGATTCATTTATTAACACTATTGACCACTACCACCGCTCAACAGACAGCCCCATAACACGCGTACACAGACATGCGTGACAATACGCCATGCCTACACACATAAGTACACACAACATACCACGCTGGGTAATAAATAACGCACACAGTACACCGGAATGTTTTTCTCTACACTGGTTCCCCAACACTACCCTGCCGTCTGTCATGAAATATGTTATTATTATTATTATTATTATTATTATTATTATTATTATTATTATTATTATTATTATTATTATTATGTTTTTGCCTTATTTTTTAAATCTTTCTTTTCTTTATTCCAATATCTACAATAACATTAAATTTCTCCCCTTTGGTCCTGGTTACTGTGAAATTTAGTGTTTTTTTTCTTTATACAACCTAAATAACTATGTATGTCTTTCATTACGGCTCCTGATAGATTTTTTAGGAAACCATATATACACACACACACACACACACACACGCACACACACACACACACACACACACACACCTTCTGGTCTACATTAACCATATATTTTAACCAATAAGAGTAAAAAAACAAACAAAAAAACACCTCACTCGCCAATGTTTACTTAAAATTGGTTTGTTTGGGTAAATTGACAGAGGTCGGTTATCAACCAAACTCAATAATTACAACTTTTCACTTTATAATTATCCATTGGCCATCTTAAACGCCATTCTATACATAAATTGCTAGCCTCTTAAAAATACATAGATTAAAAATTCTCATTACTTTCTTACTGTTATTCAGGTTAACACTTGTGAGGGAGAGTTACTGTAATTATTGTCAGTGTGTTTACTTGGAATGTGATTTAGGAAAGTATCATTATAATCTTCCCCATCAACCACGGCCTATAACACTAATGTCTTTATTCTTTTAGTGTTCCGTTGATAATTAGGTCTACATACATACATACAAAACAGTGTTGTTCTCTGGTCGGCATAAGTGCGAGGTAGAGAGTGGAGGTGTTAACTAGTGAGGCAGTTTAATACCTCAGGCTTACCCAAACTCTTTTCCTTCTCTCTCTCTCTCTCTCTCTCTCTCTCTCTCTCTCTCTCTCTCTCTCTCTCTGTTTGTGTATCTATTTTTCCCTTTATCTTATCTCTCCTTTTCTTTTTTTTAAACTACTTGTACAGGGAAGAAGCACACAGCTGTAAAGAGAGAGAGAGAGAGACGTGGGGAGAGAGAAAGGAGGAGAGAGAGAGAAGAGGGGGTAGAGAGATACATGCGAAGAAAGATAAAGAGAGAGACAGACGAAAGGGAGAGAGATGAGATGAGAGACAGACGGTGAGAGAGAGATACACCACCTTACTCTCACCAGGTGGCAGCACTCACCAACTCCTCCTTACCCTAACAAGTGACACAATAATAACTGCCATGGGAGTATATTTGCTTCTCTATTCCTCTCCTTGCTTAAAATATAACAAAGGGTGGAGAACTACATGATAGGAACGACAACTAAAAAAGCTTAACATGATAGAAAGGACAACTAAAAAACGCCCAACACGATAGAAACAGCAGGATATAAAGAAGAGGCGAAGGATACAGTCTGTTGATGTTAGAATGAGTCGCTGTGACCTGAATATGAAGGACTATAGGTGTGGGTTACATGACCAAGGAAGGACTTGCGTAGGAGAGGAATTCCACTGCTGAGAGGAGCTGGGAGTGTAAGCTGAGAGGAGGAGAGTTTTAGGGAGGGTGTTGGTATGTGTGGCATTTCAGTAATGTATTCATGAGAGAAAAGGAGTATCGAATATAGTGTGTTAAGGGTTCACAGCTGAACGTATCTGAATTTAACCTAACCTAACCTAACATAACATAACCTAACATAACCTAACTTAACGTGACCTAATTTAACCTAACCTAACCTAACCTAATATGATGAAGAGAGACACGAACAAAACTTGGAGGATAAAATATAATCCAACATCACTGGGAGTATTTTCTTGTCAAGGTCGGTGTGTTGGTCCCAAGAGAAGCTGTCATGAGTTATGGTGAAATCTTTAGACGAGCCGAGATGAAGAGAGAGAGAGAGAGAGAGGAGCTATTAGGAGTGTTGTGGAAGACGTGGGAAGGGAGGCAATAAAAACTATCTTGCTTACATGACTTTTTTTTTAACTATTAAATGTTATATGGTTAGTACTGTGGTATATAGCTAGGGGCCAGGGTGGCTTGGTACTGTGTGTGTGTGTGTGTGTGTGTGTGTGTGTGTGTGTGTGTTAAGGCGGTGTTTTCCAACTTGATAATTGTTGATGTGTTTGTATTAGTTTCGTGTTATGATGTATACCTAGAAACTTCTCTGGTCGGGGTTACGTTTCCAGTGTTTGTTTGTGGAAATATTGCGTTGTGAAGCTTCCTGACCCGGCACGATGGAGAGGCAGCTTTTTTTTCGGGTGTGGGGGGAAAATTGGGGAATGAAAATAAACTGAATCCTTTTTATTTTTGCAGTTTTAGCGTTGATTGAGGCACAGTTAAATGCATCTGACATGATATTCCCAGGAGGCGATAAGTACAA